TGAGAAATTTCTTAGGCGGAGAGGCCATTTTGGCACATTTATCCATAAATGTCACCAAACTGTGCCAAATATGTTTTTTACATCAATACTGGGGGTTTGGTAAAATTACGAGGTCACGTAGCAGCTGGACCCACCGGTGGGTCCGTAGGGTTCATGGGGTTAATGAATTTTGCATTTTGTATTAGAGAGCTTAAGCCATTTGCTACATTTGTGTAACATCTGTTTTTGTGTAGTTCTTTTCTATACGGCTATAGTCCCAATTGTGCCCCTTATCATCCAAATGCATTTCAGTCAAGTGACGATGGCCACAAAGCTGAAGGATGCAGCACAGCTGTGGATATTTTTGACCCCATAAAATGTAAAGAAACAGCAGCTAGTTCCTATAATTTGCCCAATTAAAAATCATGATGTACGTTTCTAAAACCTAAATTGTGTTTTGTTTTTTTCATTGAGAAACTAAGATTTTATTGCATGATGCATATGCAGTCAAGTGCAACTTCACAATTACTTTACATTTTCTATCAGATTTCTTATCTCTTGGATCCATCAGTTACATCAAGTTTTCTGACACCCTTCCACCATTCTGACGTTGGCCCTGAATTCCTTTTTCTCAAGTACTCTTTTAGTGTTAAACCTACTCACACCTCTTAAAAAAGGTTAACTTTTTTTTAAAAGTCCATAGAATATTGCACCAAGACACGTTTTAGAAATGTAACATAGGTTTGTGTGTTCTTTGCGATCGGCAGCTGATTTTGGCCTGGATCCAGCTCTCCTTTTATATCTAAGTTTCTTCTTTATTATTGACAGGGTTCCTGCAGCCCGGTAAACATCAAATTTAAGAACTTTACAGAACCAATTTCCTGCTCTTTAAACATTTCAGTGTGACATAAAAACCAGACATCATTACATTGCCACAATAACAATTTCTTTGACAGCATTTTTATGCAACGCAATCAGAGGTGCCAATAATTCTGCATAAAATGTTGCAATTAGTTTTGTTGTTCTGATTACTAACAAAACTAATACCCTTTTAGTCTTAACCGTGGTTCCGGATAAATGTCACTCCAGGGGTCTCCAACTTCAGGGGAGCCCCTTAGTTAAAGGCTGGAGTCGTTTATTTCTGCTTTAGAAAAAAGGACCAAGAAATTAATTCATGATTTCCTTACCTTTACTCTAATTTACATTTATTTAATTTAATCGGTAAGGAATATAAATTGTTCAAGTAACAACTAATATTGTTAATGTATAGTAGCAGAATAAAAGCACAACCTTATTTCGCTGTCCCCTAATCTGACAGGCTGGGGGTAAGGTTAAGGGCAAATTTGAGATTAAGTTTTAAACTTTAAAAAATATTGATTGGAGAAATTCACACTAAATGTGTTAGAAATTTTATGTTACATATGGTTAAATCTTGTGTCTTTTAAAAAATCTCTAAAACACACCAACCTGTACAGAACGTAAATCAGCCATAGTATCTAAGAAATATAATTGACCCTGCATCACCAGAACAAACTATTTGCACATTTAGAAAGAACACAAATCCGTCAAGATTATGAGACAGACCCACATACACCTGGTTACACACATGATTGTACCGAAACATCTCACTTAAACACAGAATCATGCATCCTGTGCAAAGACGCATACGCTGACTGCACAGCTGCTACAGGCAATCAGGACGGAGCATCGTGTTACAGAGGCCCGATGAGTCTGCTCATTCCTCCCTCGCTCTGCGTCTCACATCCCTCCGATAAACAGGACAGCATGCCAGCTTAACTTACTGACTCTTCTCTACTTCCTCCTCGGTTACACAGGACCCTGAGCACACCTAGCTACTGCCTCTGTCAGCTTACCGACACTTCAGAGACCTACCCTCCGCCACATCCGACACTTACGGCTATCTTTCCAAAAATAAAGTTTTAACCCCTT